ATATATATATATATATATATATATATATATATATATATATATATGTTAAAATAAGGGATAAATGTACTTGTGTATGCTTCTGCTTGTTTTTTTCAAAACTCTCGACAAACATTGAAACGAGTTTGTCGATATACATATATAAACACTAAAAAATGTTCAATTACATATCTATAAACATGTTTTATATATATATATATATATATATATATATATATATATATAAACATATATGTCTATCTACATCATAATTTAATACATTATACTTATTACACTCTAGTAATAAAATGCTGAGCTTACAAACACTTCAACATAATAATTAATTTTAAACTCTACACAATACCCTATAATATATTATAATTAATTGTAATTACTAATTGGAACACTTTTGAGAGATATCGTATTATTAATTCATATAATAATATTAACTAATTAATAATAGTTGAACATATTCGGGATACATCATATTTGGTTTCACATTTATATTTCATTCGTCCAAAAATTATAATAATTTATTAAAATTATTTTGGATTTACGCACATAGAGATTCTTAAAATATAATTATTTTTCTTGTTTTTTACAAGAACTAATAATTAACCATGTTAGCCCGTACCTCGCTTTGCGTCGTTTCGTCTTGCATTAGACGTGTATACTCGTCATGGAAAATTAGCAAAATTTTATGTATATTCGCCGTGCGTGTAAATTGGATGAGTTTTGTTGCGTGTTTCTTTTCTAAAGTTAGTTAACTGTGTTTGACGTGTATACTCGTCCTAGAAGTGGTATAATTCTGTGTATTGGCGAGTATATTTGTTGTGTGTGCAAATTAGATACATTTGCGTTATGTGTTTCTTTTTAAAGTTAATTAACTGCAATGACGCGTATACTCGTCACGAAAAAGTGGCAATATTTTGTGTATTGACGTGTATATTAGTCGTGCGTGCAATTTGGATACATTTGCGTTTAGCGTTTCTTTTATGAAGTAAGGTAACTGCCTTTGACGATTATACTCGTCATAAAGTAGCGATGGAATTTTTTGTTTTATATTCGTCGTGCGTGTAAAATCAGATACATTTGCGTTTCCCGTTTCTTTTCTAAAGTTAGTTAACCAGATTTTTTTACTTCATAAACAAGTTACTGCGATTGACGAGTATACTTGTCATGGAAAAGTGACAGAATTTTGTGTATTGACGTATATATTCGATGTGCATGTAAAATTGATGCATTTTACGTTTCAAATTTATTTTCTAAAGTAAGTTAACTACGATTGACTTGTATACTCGTCTTAGAAAAAAAAACAGAATTTTGTGTATCGACGAATATATTCGTCGTGTGTTAAATTAGATACGTTTGCGTTTTGCGTTTCTTTTCTAAAGTTAGTTAGTTGCCATTGAGGTGTATACTCGTCATAAATTGAGGCAAAATTTTGTGTATCGCCGTGCGTGTAAATTAGATATTTGTGTTTCGCGTTTCATTTCTTCAACATTTAACGGCGATTGACGTGTATACTCGTCATGAAGAAGTGACAGAATTTTGTGTATTCACGAGTGTATTCGTTGTGTAATTGTAAATTAGATACATTTGCGTTTTGCGTTACTTTTTTTAAGTTAGTTAACTGCAATTGACGTATATACTCGTCATGAAGAAGTGGCAAAATTTTGTGTATTGACGAGTATATCCGTCGTGTGTATAAATTAGATACATTTTTTCCATAAGCTGTCAACTACGACTGACGTGTATACTCGTCATGGCGAGTAGAAAAATTTTGTGAATCAACGTGCGTGTCGAAAATAGTTCTTCTCTTAACCAGATACGTGTCGTTTCGCGTTTCTTTTTCTTGAGCAGTTAACTGCGTCGACGTGTATATTCGTCATGAAGAAATGACAGAATTGCGGGTATTGGCGAATATATTCGCCGTGCGTGTAAAATATATTTGTTTCGTTGCGTGTTTCTTTTCTGAAGTTAGTTAACTGCGATTGACGTGTATACTCGTCATGGAGAAGTGGTAGAAATGTGTGTATTGACCTGTATCTGTACCAATACCAAACTTAAACTATTTTTTGTTATGAAACTATTTTCCGTAGGCCTATAATATTTTTCGACATTACAAATGCAGATAGAACGTTAGATAAAACTGATATGTAAAAATACTAAAATTTGATAAATTTTGATACTGTTAACGGCTGAAAACTAACCTCCAAATGGCAAAAATATCAATATAACATTATTATTAGTTCAACTTCACGCATGTTTTATTTAAAAATGCAACGCTTCAATTCTTATGAATTTATATACATAGTATTGCTATATAAGATAAAACATGTAACCGAGAATAACTATTACACATATGTATTACACCTATAGTAACATGAATGAAAAAGTGTAATCGAGTCTTTTGTCATAAAAATGTTTATCTTAAGAAAGTCTATGTGCGTATATCCTGAGAAAAAACATACACAGGGTATCCCAAAATTCAACGTCAAGCCGAAACAGGGTGAAAGGATTGATTGAAACCACCATAAAAAAATTAGAAACAATGATGGGTAATTAAGAACATCCTGGAAATCTGGTGAAAATAGATGTAATTTTGAAAAAAAAAAGAACTTTTTGGTCGAAGGCAATCAAATATTTATTAAACCATAAATATGAAAATAATGGGGCAATTCTGCCGTAGCATAGCTCATAAAATAGCGTTGTCATGGCAACGAGCAAGGAATAATCTTATGATAACAGAATTCTAGATGGTGCAGTTATCATAACATTCATCCTTGCTTGTTTATATGTGAAATATGTCTGATCGCACGCGAAATAGATAGAAATTTTCAAAATATTCAATACCAAGAACAAGCATAAAAGAGCGTTGCCATGACAACTCTGTTACGGCAGAATTGCCCCATAAATCTCTTTTTAAAAATGTGTACTAGTACTTTTGCAAATGTCATACTTGTTAGTTTCAAACAAAAAAATCGAGTAAATAATAAAAATCACCAATAAACCCATTATTGGTGACCCCAACAAACACGTCAGATTCATATCACTCACTTGTGGCAAAAATGCCTCATACATTTCGCTCAGAATTTTGTTCTCGCCCTGAACATTTTAGGTTGATAGAATAAAATAGATTTTGTCCCCTGCTTCGGCCTGACGTTGAATTCTGGGATACCCTGCACATATATGACCCTTATCCATACACGCGACCCCATTCACAATTATTTCTATCGTTTTAACGAAACCTGGAATTTGACATATCAACTTAGCCATATCGTAACATCATTATTACTAAAAGACTCAACAAGTCAAATAATTTCTAATCTTTGGCATTGCCCATTTATTTTGCAATGTCAAAAACTAATCAACAACGATACAACAATATACTTATAAATAACAAATTGAACTATATATTCACAATCATTTCATATCTTTAATTTTAGGAAAACATTTGGAAACGAAAATGATTGATAATGAAAACTGGATGAAATAAAAAACTTTTTTCTACTATGATACGTTTCGTATGTAATTTTCTTCCTCCAGTTTTCATCAGCATTTTTTTTTAAATCGTTTTTAAACGCACGCGCTGGGTATCTCGGCAGCGCTTGTCGTTAAATCGATAAACACAAATAATTATTTTTAAATATATTAAAATTTGTTCGAAAGTTAAAAAAAATCTTATATTTGTTTTAATATTACTACTTGAAAGAACCAGCTTTAGGAGGTACTTTCGTTTTGGTTTTTGTTCGTAGACGATCAACGCCTGAAGCTACCTGCAGAAACAGACGCAGAAATTAAAATTAATAATAAAATATTCTTCATATATGTATACAAAAAATTAATGAAACTGAGTAAAGCGAGTTATATCGAGGGGCTTCGGAATTTTTGAAATCGGTGTATCGGTTTTTGAGAAAACGTCCGGAAAAGTCAAACTTGTACGTTTCGAGAACCATATGTGTGCCATCACAAACGAAAGAAAAATAAACATATATAAGCTAGTGGGCGCATGGCATCGTGCCTTAAGGCAAATTTAATTTTTTTTAAGTTATTTTTATTGAGAGTCTACAACCGCTGGACCTGCCTTTTCAAAAATTTAGTCAGTTCTTCATCTCGTCAATACAAGTACAATGTTTTTTGAATTATTAAATTTGAACGCTTCGTTCTCTCAAAAACTGAATTGACATTTTTGGCACTTTTTGCCCCGTATCTTCGGAACGCCTAGACCTGCCTTTGCCAAAAACTAATCAGCGCGTCTCCTAATCAATACGAATCGAATGTTTTTTAAATTATTTAAATCGGTTCAGCCGTGTTCCCGAAATCGTTGACGAAAATTTGTATCCGAACACACATACACACACATATACACAAACACATACATCCATTTTTTCTAAGGTATGCCAAAATGTTCAGAAGGCTTTGAAACGTAAAGATATATACAAAATTTCATTTTCGATTTTTTTGCGATTACTATAACTTGCCTTACGAGAAGTTAATAAAAAATTAATAAAGCTAAGTAAGACTAGTCTTTATCGAGTTGTACCAAATATTTTTTAACTTAGTTATAGTAATCGCAAAAAAAAACAAAAATGAAAATTTTTATATATCTTTACGTTTCAAAGATTTCTGAACATTTTGGCATACCATAAAAAATGGATGTATGTGTGTGTGTGTGCGGATACAAATTTTCGTCGACGATTTTGGGAACACCGATCAACCGATTTAAAAAATTCAAAAAATATTCGATTCATATTGATAAGGAAACGCGCTGATTAGTTTTTGGCGAAGGCACGTCTAGCCGTTCCGAAGATACGGGGCAAAAAGTTCCAAAAACGGTAACTCAGTTTTGAAGAGAACGGAGCGTCCGATTTTAATAATTCAAAGAACATTTTACATGAGTAGATAGTGTGCAAAAAATGCATCTACAGAAAATTTAGTGATTTTGAAAATTAAAAAAAAAATCAAAATTTTCAAAAAAAAATTCAAAGTTTCAAAAAATTCAAATTTTCGAAATTTTTCATCCTTTAAAAAAAAAAACTAAATTTCGAAAAATTAAAAAAAAAATTTTTTTACAAAAATTTGAGAATTAAAAAAAATCGAATATTTTCAAAAATTTCCCAATTCTCAAAATATTTAAAAAACGTTTTTTTAGATTCCAAAAAATAAAAAACTTCGAAAAAAATCTAAATTATCAAAAATGTGCGGAAAAGGGTACGGGAAGTTCCAGCAATTTGCCTTAAGGCACGATGCCATGCGACCGACTAGTTGAAATCGATTCAGTCGTTTTCGAGAAAACGTCAAACTTTGAAATTAAACTAAATTGTACGTTTCGAGAACTATATGTGTCCCATCATCCTACTAGCAATATAAACAAAGAAATAATAGAGTAAACAAAGACTAAAGTAAAGAAAGAAGGAAAATATAAAAATTCAAGTCCTACTAATAACGTAAAAATATTACTATTTCTCCATCCCACTTACCCGTGTATCCTAATGTGACAACATCAGCAGGCAGACTGCCCCTCCTCCTCTGCTGCTGCTGCTGCGAACTGCCGCCGCCACTGCCATTACTACTATCGCCCAAAATCGTGTTAACGCTGCCTTTCCTCCTACCGGCTCCGGCGGCAGGAGGCGCCGCCAGGAACCCGCCTGCGGTCTGGGCGACGTTCTCCTGCTCCGGGCTTGTAGAGGTCCTTTGGCTGGTCGACTTCTGTCGATGGTGATTGTGACTCGAACTGGCGGACGTTGGTGGTTGCTGGTTGTTGGCGCCGTTCGGGCGCAGCGGCGGCGCCCGGACGCCGGAGTCGGGGGTTGATAAGTCGTCGGCGCGGACCTGGGTAATGGATAGAGTGTATGTTATTAAGGGGCACAACTAGTGTAACCGCATCAAAAACAGGTGATTTTTGGAAATTTATATTAAAAAAAACTGCTTTATCAATCATTTCAAAATTTTAGGAATATATTTATACATGTTTTAAGAATACATAGTAAAATTAAAAAAAAAAAAAATTAAGTATTTTTTAAATTATCGTCGATCTCTAACGGCGCGACAAACAAAGGCCCTTCACTGCTGCAGTGATTCCGGCCAACTACGTAGATGAAATTAAAAAAAAATCTCGTTAAACTAGATAATATTGTCTGTAAAATGAACTACGATGAAGAAAAAAATCAAAAATTGACAAAATGACGGCGCTTTTTTTTTAAAAAAAAAAGTCGAATTTTACCTAAAATTTTGGTCATTTTTGGACTGCCAAAATTCGATTTTTGATCCTATCAAAAAATCAATAGTTCATTTTACAGAGAACTATATATAGAACATGTAAAAAAATTGATAGTGATCGGATCGTTTGTTTTTGAGTGATCGCTGCAGCAAATTCAGAAAATGCTGTTTCGAGAAAAACGCGTTTAAAGATTAAACGATCGTTATACTATATACTATATATATACTCTTTAAATGACTGTAACTAAAAAACTATGTAAGATATCGATTTAAAATTTTGGTATGTTATTTTTAAAGGTATAACGTATCGAAATATGAAAAAATTGAAAATTCGATTTTTTGAAAATTTCACACTTGTTGTACCCCTTAACTTCCCGTAGGGTAGTTATAGTAATGGGCCGAATATCGAAAATGAAAATTTTTGCATTTCTCGACGTTTTGAAGGTTTTACAACATTTTGGCATAGCTCAGAAAAATGGATGTGTGTGTGTGTTTTGTATGTCCGCATTTTTACGTCCACGTTTTCGGGCGCACTGATCAACCGATTTGAATGGTTTAAAAAATATTCGATCTCTATTGATAGGGAGATGTGCTGATTAGTTTTTGGCAAAGACAGGTCCAGCCGTTACGGAAATACGAAGCAAAGAGTGTAGAAAATACAAATCGATTTTCGAGAGAACGGAGTATCGGATTTGAATGATCTAAAAAACTATCTGCTTGTATTGACAAAATAATTGCTTTTGAGGATGACAAATTTTTACATCTTTTTTATTTTTGTAATTTTGGATTAAAAATTCAAAAAAATTACCCAGGCTAAGCACAGTCTAAGCGCCACTCCGGTACAAATATTTCCCAAAGTGCATTTAGACTGTTTATGCACTGGAGCACTTTTCCATTTTTGTGAAAACTATTGAAAAATGTGAAAATGCCGCCAAGCTGAGCACAGTATAAGTGAAAATGTCGCACAGAATTATTTGCAAATAAATGCGCTTAGACTGTGACTATACGGGAGCACTTTTTCAATTTTGTGTAAATTAGGCATTTTTTTTGAAATTGAATTCGAAATGAAATGACGATTGTTAATGTTCTGGAGATAAATTGATTTAATTATGATTTACATTTGATTTGCTCAGATATAGCAAGATAGCAACAATAATGAAAGTCACAATATTTGTAATAATATATTTGAAAACGATTAAAATTTCTCGAATATTTCATTACGGTACGAGAAGTTCCAGCAATTTGCTTCAAGGCATGATGCCATACACCACTAGTTTGGTTAATGGATACAGTGCATGTTATCTGTGGATAAGTTGATATAAAATTTTAAGTTTTACCTTAGCAGGAGTTTCGCACGGTACGGAACCCCTTCGTTTGTAGTTCGAGCTGATGCTGAGAGAAACTGCTCCACAATCGCTGCTCGCCCCAGATGTGGGAGCACTTCGATTTGGAGGCGTGCTCCATTCAGGATCCACATATAAATTAGGATCAACTTCAAAACTCCCTGAAAATTGATAAAAACATTACTAATTTGTAATACAAAATTAATATATTTAACCGAATAAATTATTTTTTATAAATTAAATTGTTTTTGCATATCTTTACGTTCCAGATTTTCTGAACATTTTGACATACCTCAGAAATATGGATGTATGTGTGTGTGTATGTGTGGATACAATTTTTCGTCGATGATTTCGAGCGTACAGAACAACCGATTTGAATGATTAAACAAATAATCGATTCGATGAGGAGACGTGGCAATTAGTTTTTGGCAAAGGTAGGTACAGCCGTTTCGAAGATACAAAGCAAAGAGTGCAGAAAATAGAAATCGAGTTTTTGAGAGATCGGAGCATCCAATTTGA